AAGTAATGCAGCGCCTTAACGGAAAAAATGGTCTAGTCAGGAAGGGGGGTAAATCCTCAGGAGGGCAAGTGGTTAAACATTACAAAGAACATAACAGAATATGTAAAAAGGAAATCAAGGCTGCAAAAAATTAAAACGAACGACAGATTGCAAAAGATAGCAGGACAACCCCCCAAAAAGTCTTCAAGTATATTAATAGTAAAAAGGTCCAGTCTGAGCATGTAGGCCCTTTATAGAATAATACAGATTTTTCCAAGCCTGTAGACTTTACCTTACACATTAGCCGTGTGTGGGGAACTGCATAAAACACTTTTGCAAAATCCATGTATACCACGTCTAACCGCCACCACTCTGTCCAAGGTTTTGCTCACCTCCTCATAAAAATAAATCAGATTTGTTTGACAACTTCTGTCTTTCATGAATCCATGCTGTCTGTTGCTTAAAATATTTTTTTCCAGCAAGAACTCATCTATGTGGTCTTTTATTAAACTCTCCAGTATCTTCCCAACTATAGAAGTTAAATTAACAGGTCTATAATTACTTGGTAAAGATTTTGACCCCTTTTTAAATATTGGCACCACATTGGCCTTATGCCAATCCAGTGGTACTATGCCAGTCATTAAAGAGTCCCGCAAAATTAGAAACAATGGCTTTGAAATGACAGAGCTCAATTCTTTAAGTACCCGTGGGTGTATGCCATCCGGTCCAGGTGCTTTATTCACCTTTATTCTGTCTAAATATTTCTGGATCATATCAATTGTAAGCCAATGTGGATCATCTGGAGCTGTGTCAACACCCATGCCCATTATGGACAAGAGCTCCCCCATGCTTCTTTGTATACACAGAGCTGAAGAAGGTATTTAAGAAATTTGCCTTCTCCTTGTCCCCAGTCACCCACTCTAGATTATTTTGTAAAGGGCCTACATGCTCGGAGCGGGACATTTTTACTATTAATATATTTGAATTTTTTGGGGTTGGTCCTGCTATCTTTTGCAATCTGCCGATCATTTTCAATTTTTGCGGCCTTGATTTCCTTTTTACATATTCTGTTATATTCTTTGTAATGTTTAAACGATGATAGCGTTCCTTCATTTTTATATTTAATAAAAGCTCTTTTATTATTATTTATAGCTTTTTTAACTTTGGCCGTAAGCCACATAGGTTTGATTTTTAGCCTTTTAAACTTATTGCCCATGGGAATATATTTTGCAGTGTGTTCACATACAGTCTTTTTGAAGAACTCCCATTTCTGTATTGTGTTTATTGATGCCAATATTCCCTCCCAGTCTAAGTCTTGGAGAGCAGCTCTCAGCCATGGAAAATTAGCTCTCTTAAAATTGAGCGGTTTTATTTCTCCCGTATGTGCTTGCTGTTTACAGCTAACAATAAATTAAATCATGGTCACTGCTACCCAGATGTTCTTTTATATGGACATTCATAATAAGCTTGTCTTTCTCATTTGCTAGGGAGAAGGAGGTCAGAGACAAGAAAAAGATTTTTGTTCTTTTAGCTGCCCGTTTGGGCCTACAGTGACCAAACTGACCTGCAGTAGAAGCCTAAATAGTTATAAAGCTGACCTGTGGCAGGGGTCAAAGAAATTGAAAAGTAGTTGCCCATCAAGGCCTTCAGAATCTACACTGGTCTTCAGCAGAAGCTTAAACTATTCTAACACCGAGCTGTGGTCAAAAGATCCTGCAAAATAGTAGCCCATCTGGGCCCAAAGAGTTCTTGGAGAAGTTTGCTCTGTAAAGGGATTTTTGCTGCTGTTTTGGGGTATCCTGTTTGTAAATAACAACAAAAGGATTAAAGAAGATACTGAAGCTTGTCTGCCAATGTTGATGGGCCATTGAGTGTCTGGGTATAGCTACTGATCAGGTCACTGTCAGAAATGCTAGGATACACGTTAAAAATCCATCAGCTACTTAGAGAGTAATTACTACACCTTTTTTTTTCTTTTTTTGTCCCAATGTAGAGATAACTCTCTTTGCTTTCTGGATGCAACAGGAAGTAAAAGAAAAACTCAATAAAATGAAAGGAAGTCCCCTTGCAGACAGTTGTCATCAGCGCAGTTTTCCATTGTAAGATTTTCCCTTGCTTCTTGTTTTGGTGACAACTTTGAAATTTTTGATTTCCCATCACTTTCAGTCTTAGTAACTATGGTCACTAGGACATATAGAGGGTGAATCTTCCCAGCTGAGATACTTCCCTACTCCATCAAAAATAGTTTTAGCTGTCATGAATGGGTTAACCATTCCTTAACAGCTTGCTTTTGGTTGTGATCTGTGATTGGCTACAGCTAATCACATGGTACAGGTAGCCAGGTACCATGTGATTTGTTGTGGGCAAATCGCAGATTGCAACAGTAAGCAAGCTATCCATGAATGAAAAGCCATTCATGAGAGTTTGTTTACATTGTTATCATGTGATTGCTATGACCATTCATAGCAATTAAATGATGTCCTGTTACTGATTACCGGTAACTGTAATCTGCTGTGTCCACCGGACAGGACCATTCGGTTGGTTGCAGGCTGGTTGGTAAGTAGAACTGGGATTTTTTTCCTTTGTTGTTGTTTGACATGCATCACCCCTCCATGTGCTCTTTGCTGCAAGGGCCAGTTATAGGTTGGGACAGTTGCCGTTTGTTTGTACTATTGGTATATTGGTGAGGGGACACACTGGACACCTTTGCTGCCATTGTACTATATGCCAGGTGTTCAATATGCACCTGTGCCTTTTAGGGAGGGATGGGCCCCCTCCAGGCTTACCTGCCCTCAATTTATCCATATTATAAATGCGTTTCTTCTATGGGGGCTCTCAAAATTTATAGAGATAGGAACTGCACAATACCGGGGTGCCTTGAAGAGGCTCTGCAGCATATACATGTATTTGCAAATGTGTGCAAACTAAACCCATGTTTTTAACTTGAACTGTTAGAAAGGACAATTTGGTTGGTTGCAGACTGGTTGATAAGTTGAGCTGGGAGTTTTTCTTTGTTGTTTGAAATGTGTTGCCCTTCAATGTGTTCCTTGCTGCAAAGGCCAATTATAGGTTGGGACAGTTGCTGTTTGTTAGTGCTGTACCATATACTTGTGTTAAAAAGTATCCTGTTCTCTTTGTATTGCTTTCTTTGTGTGAAATCTCTGGTGTTCCTGCCAGTCCCTCTGCTTTCCTATTAAAAACTAGCCACACTCGGCAAGAGAGCACTGTGTGGTCAGTTTTCTAGCTATGCTGAGAACTGAGCCTGCTCTCCTCCAATGACCAGGCTTCTGCCAAAACACCCCCTCTACACAGCCATTCACTGGGAAGACCAGTGAGAGCTGCTCCCCCAGCTCTATAAGATTTTTATGCAGCTGAAAACAGAGGTTTTGTGATCACTTAACCCCTTCGCGCCAGCGCCTATCGGCCCTTTAAGGGTTTCACAAGTCGGGAGGCAGGGTATAGGGTCACATAATTGGGAAAGGTCCTGATCGAAAGAAGAGATCGAGACCTTTCCGTGAGTACCGGACATGTGTGCTGGGAGCGCGCAGGGCACGCGCTCTCAGCACATATGTTCTTTTTTAATAGAACACAAATGTGTGACCGCTCGGTGTCTAGGCCCAGGCGCTGGGAGGCTGCACATTTGCGTTCAGCCAGCATGAAGAGGTTAACAAAGGTATTTATATATTTTTTTTTATATACAGTATGAACAAATTGTTTTGCCTTTTTGTTTTTATTTTAAACTGAATGGGTTCTTTTACAAGGTGAGGATTCACATATATTTTAAGACCAGTAAACAGTCAAAAAGAAGAGTCCCTACTTCTTTGGTAAATCAGCGCCATGGAATCTATGATTACTTGGAGTAGGTTTTAATAAATAATGTGACATTTTATTTAAACAGGTATGTAAAAAGGGGAAAAAAAACACGAATTTCAGAAATCTTTTGCAGGAGACCCTTTTTCACATCTGTATTTAGGTGATCTGATAAGACATTTTAAGGTTCTTACCTATTTCACCTATCAACTTCTGTCAAACTGTCACTGTCCTATGCAGCTTTAACCCTGGTTAGTTGCCGAGGTAATATACTGTAGACACCTCTTATTTCAGACACTTTCATAAATACAATTTAATTTTCTTGAAATCAATATCTTCCGCAGCTCAAATAATAAGGCACAATCACTTTCCGATCAACATTTTTTATTGCAAGCTGTAATTCTAAACGATGGGCTGATAAACTTTACGTAGAAGAATTTATGAATTGTCCAGCTGGAGCTCCGAGCTGTATATATTTCAGAGAGCAGAGGTGATATCTGTCGAATAAGGTCTAGGCTGATAAAGGTCAATGTGTACTTCCCAAGGGACAGCTCTTTGTGAATATCTCCTCTCTATATCTGGTTTATTAATTCTTGCTCTGAAATAATAAGTCATGTTTTGCTGTCCTCTCGTACGTTTGTTTATATGTCAAGGTCAGATTGAAACCCAGCTCTGTCCCTCCCGCTGAGCTCAATCCCCTATTAAACCAGTCACTAACACTTCTGAGGATGCTATCTGACGGCTAAATATTTTCATTTGTAGATAGCAGCTCCACACAGGAGCTGCAGTACCCAAACCAATAATTATACCAAGGCTCACAATACCCACAGTGTCAAAGTGTCTTGTGAATATATACACAACATTCTGTAAAAGGATTAAATATCAAAGTGTTTCTCTTTGGAGTACGAATGGTTTCTTATGGGTCAGGTCTGTTATACACTGCTTTATTGGCATGGCTGCATTTGCAGTTCATGTTGTCTTAGGTACACACAAATTTATGATGGCTTAGTAAGCAAGCTCCTCCCTATTTGTCACATTATTGTAAGTGCAAAGTTTAAAGTGTTACTAAACCCACAACAGTAAAATCAGTCTGTATATGCAGTAAAGCATGCTTGGCATACTCACTGTGGAACCTGAGGGGTTAATCCTCTGCATTGTGTAAAAAGGCAGTTTGATCCTGTCTTCTCTGTTCCTCCCCTTTTTTCAAGCAACCACCTCTTATCTCCTGATTAGACAGACTGAACTGTAGACATTTGCTCATGCTCAGTTTGGTGTGTATTGCTAGAGAGGGTTTGTTTTTCTTGGGAGAGTGCATTTCATCAGCACAGGGCCAATCAGCACTGGTCAGACAGAGGTCAGTGGTTTTGCATCCTTCTAGAGCAGAAAAAAACTCCTCCTACCTACCGGCTTTAGCTAGTGCTGGGCTGGACAGCACTGGTCAGACAGAGGTCAGGGGTTTTGCATCCTCCTAGAGTAGAAAGAAAACTCCTCCTACAGGCTTTAGCTAGTGCTGAGCTTGGACACTGATAGAAGCCACAAGACTGCTCTAACTGCTGATGAGAAAAGGTATTTAGCAGTTTATATTTACTAAAATAATTGCATTTCCATGTTCTGTGTACTGTGGGAGACCAGATATAGTAGATGCAGGTCCTGGGTTTAGTAAAATTTTAAACTAGAGTATGCTGTTGCAGAAATCATATTACATACATTATAGAGGGATAAGCAAAATTGAGAGTTTTTTATTTCTGGTAAAATCTGCAGATTTTACTAAAATGTTGCTATTTTAGTAAGATGTATTAGAGTCAAATTGGGAAGGTGAAATCAATGTTGTTTTAGATATTTTTTTAAGGGCGCGAGGAGCATACAGTGGCTCACAAAGGTTGAAGCTTATTTTAATTTCCTAGACCTGCTCTTGTGCCATAAAATCTTTTTATTTGCCACAATAATTTTTTTTTACAGAAAGAAAAAAAATCACAATGTGAACAAATAATGACCAAACAAAAAAGCAAGGAAAAAAAGCATAAATACAAAGAATACTAAAGAAAATAAACCAAACTACCTTAGATAGACAACCCCCCAAAACAAAAAACACCCCATCTAAATTAAGGAAAAAAAGAGTAGATTTTCTTTATGAAGCAAATTTTGCCTAAGTAGCTTCATAAGCGAAATAGAGAGTCTCCACTTCAACAAAGATGACAAGGTGAGTAAATTTGCAGCAAAATCAGTTTAACTAAAATCACCCTGCTCATTCTTAGGTTTATGTATGCAGATTACATTGTACAGTCCATTAAAAGCAAGGGCCTACTAATGGAGTAGAAAATATTAACTTCGCAAAGTGAAGTTCTGTCAACTTTGAACACCAAATCATGTGCAGGAGGATTTATAAACAGATTCCTGCCTTGCAAGGTAGGATCATATAAATGTATGCATCTTTAAAGTGACATTAAAGGTTAAATAAAAAAAAATAACAAACATGTCATACTTTCCTGCTCTGTGCAACTGTTATTTACACAGCAGCCCAGATCCTCGCTCGCCAGCTCTCCTGGCTCCTCTTCTCCAAGAGCACCCATAGGAAGCTGCTTGCTATGGGGGCACTTGTGCATGCTCACTCCTGAGTCCCACACTGTGTGTCATATTGACCCATAGAATGGGGCTCAGTCCTGCCCATGCTCCCTCTTCACTGGCTGTGATTGACAGCCAATTGCTCTTATTGCTGTCTCTCAGCCAATGAGGAGGCAGAGACACGAGAGAGCAGCTGTTCTCGTATGCATTGCTGGATCGCGATTGGGGAGCTGCATGCTGAAGTTTTTTACTTTCTTTTCATAGATATCATAAAGGTAAAAAAAACTTCAACTTTTAGAACCACTTCAGTGTGTTCCTTTAGTAAATCAACCACACGTCATGAAAACTGAGTAGTACATACCCACATGGAAGAGAAATAAATTTCCAATATATTTAGAAACAAATTATATATGTGACATATATTTACAATATATTGGCCTACGCTAATATATTTTAACATGTATTCTAAAAAATTTAAATTTAAATATATTTTCTAAAGGCATATATTTAAAAAATATATTTTTTTTTAAATATATTCTTCAGAATTTTTTTAACATATAAAAAAGTCATTTTAACATATATTTTTACATATATTTGGAAATGCATTCCACAAATGTAGATTAAATGCATTTTCAAAGACATATATTTGAAAATGTGTTTTTAAAAATATTTTTAATATATTTAAAGTATATATAATATATATATATTACATATATTTTAAATATATAAAAAAAACTCATTTCAACATACAGTGTATATATATATATATATATGAAATATATATTTTTTTTAAATATATTGAATACGGCAAAAATATTGTAGTATTTCAAATATATGTCAATATATTTTGGGAAGAATATTTTTAAAATACATTTAAAATATATTTTTTCTTCCACATGGGTAGATTGCAGAGAAAAAACTGAAGGTACAAAAATATATATTTTGTCTGTTTATTCCCACAAGAAAAATAATGAATAGCTGTTTGCTCCTTTCTTATTCTACCCATAGTGCAGGATAAGGATAGACATCCCTTTAAATACTGACATAAATTTGGTAACCGAAGACTTGTTCTGCTAATTTACCTTACTACCAGTCTGGCCCCTAGGCACTGGCCAAAAATTGTTTGATTATACACTGTATACACTGTGGTTGTAAGTTCTGTGGCAGTTTTCCTAACCATGAAAAAAATGGTAAAAATATTTTTTTTACAATGATTTTTTTTCTCCCTCTGCCCACAGATTTCTACAAGTTTAAAGAGGACAAAATGTCTAATAAGTAGTATTTGTGGACAGTAAGCATTGCTCTTACTGTGTAGCATAACTCTGTAAAGATTGCCATTAGTTTCTGCTACACAAGTTATATTGCATACCGCATAAAATCTTGTATGCAAATGCATCTGCCAAAATCTGGGATAGTTGTCTTTTCTATAACTGCTGCTAAATGTACAATGTGAGACCCCAACATATTTGAGACCACTGCAATCTGATTGTCTAACACTGAATAAATAAATGTTAGTGTGGGGAAGTTTTGATCAAAGCAACTGTAATTTTTGTGATTTTTATGTATGAGTCAAAATTGGCATACATCACAACAGGAAAGGAGGGTCCTCTCCTATGAGCAGCATTCCTAAAAATTTGGAAAGCCTGAGCTTGATTGGCTGGTGTTTTTTCTTTCATTCTAATTATGTAACTATATAACTTCCATATATGTAAAATGTAGCATAATTGAAAGCAATAATGATATCAGCCAAGTCTCAGCAGCTCATACATCACCTCATTTGTTGTCATAAGAGATACAAAAGTCAGATAAGTGCAAATCATTTACTACAGAGTCTGTTGAAAAAGAGATTTGTTCAATTAATCTGTTAATATTCTTTATTGAATTTCAAACCACTGAAACAGCAAAAAACTAAACATTGTTCTATAATTGATTTATTTTTTTCTAATTGAGAGCTAAAATGTTATTTTAAATTAAACGCTAGTTAAAGCACAAATTAGTGACAAATAACCTAATCTCCATAAACATAATCGCTGCATATAACATACCACAACATCTAGCCTGTAACTTGCCTTAAATTAGCCAGGGAACTAAGGAATGCAATGCATGATTACACAAAATAATTTATTTATTTATTATTTATTTCAGGTACTTATATAACGCCATCAATTTACGCCGCGCTTTACATATATATTGTACATTCACATCAGTCCCTAACCCTCAAGGGGTGTACAATCTAAGGTCCCTAACTCACATTCATACATACACATATTAGGGCCAATTTAGACAGGATCCAATTCACCTACTAGAATAATAAAATCTCAGCAATTCCAAAAACTACAGATGTCCTAATGGGTCTTCATTGACATGCCTACATTTTAACAATATTTTATTTTACTGAGTTCTATCTGTCTTTGACACCATAATATACCTGAATGGGTATTTGAGTTAGATTTTTGTGTCTAAACTCCCCTCCTCCCATTTTTTTTCTTCCTTCTCCTACCTCCTTTTTGTCTTATTTTTTTTCCTCTATCTGTAAAGTATATTAATAACCATATAGGAGTATTCTGATATGATATTTGGTTTTAATAGGTTGCTGACGGTTCTGTCTATGTTTTGAACCTATGTGCCTTACCAACTGTTTAATAACTACGCATGTGAAATGTTGTGACCTGTATCAATCTTTACATCTTACCTCTTTCATTAAATGCTGGTTTAAGTTTCCCAAATTTAAAAAAATATATAATTTCTATCACAAGGCACACAACCTCCCTGCGGCAATATGCATGCCACTACACAGCTGCCACCTAGTACTGAGATATATTTTTTTTAGTAATGGTATTTCTGAAATTCATGATAAAAAAATCGAAATGGTGAACATCTTTGACTTGTGATTTGTGCCCTGAAGTTTGCTTTAAATGTTTAATGAAGCTACATTACAAACAAAGCCAGAACGTATTACACCAAGTGCCTTATATATCAGGTGTTCTTACTAGTTTTTCCACCAGTCAAAATAAAAAAAGGTATTCAGAGGCACAGGATACAAAGTTACCATTCTCAGTGTCAAAAGAAGTCCTTACTCTAGGGTACAATGTCCCTTACTCTAGGGTACAATGTCCCTTACTCTAGGGCACAATGTCCTTTACTCTAGGGCACAATGTCCTTTACTCTAGGGTACAATGTCCTTTACTCTAGGGCACAATGTCCCTTACTCTAGGGCACAATGTCCCTTACTCAAGGGTACAATGTCCCTTACTACAGGGCACAATGTCCCTTTCTCAAGGGTACAATGTCCCTTACTCTAGGGCACAATGTCCCTTACTCTAGGGTACAATGTCCCTTACTCTAGGGTACAATGTCCATTCCTCAAGGGTACAATGTCCATTCCTCAAGGGCACAATGCCCCTTACTCTAGGGCACAATGTCCCTTACTCTAGGGTACAATGTCCTTTACTCTAGGGTACAATGTCCCTTACTCTAGGGCACAATGTCCCTTATTCAAGGGCACAATGTCCCTTACTCTAGGGCACAATGTCCCTTACACTAGGGCACAATGTCCCTTACTCTAGGGTACAATGTTCCTTGCTAGGGGGCTCTCTACCACAAAGAGCCCCCAAGAGTTCCTCAAGTGAATACAGGAAAGTAGAGGAAAACAAGAGCCGCACCAAAGCTATGTAAATCCAAGTGTATTTATTTAATCATAGAAGTCCAAGGAGAACAAGTCAGCATGTTTGATGAGCTATAATCTTCCCCTTTCATTAGAGTTCTTACACAATCAGCTATTGAAGGTGATAGGCAAAACCACCATTCTACTCCCATGTTTAATCACACTACATTTATCCTCACAAGTCCATTATTTTATTTAGTCCAGAACTTGAAGTCCTGATTAAAGAGGAAAGTTATAGCTTGTAAAATGCATCGGCTTGTTATATTTTGACTTTCCACGATTAAATATTCTTAGACTCCTAAACCTTTTCAGTGGCAGCCTCGTTTCCTATACACATTGCACCACTATAATTATTTTTTTTTTTTTTTAAATTGCCCAAAACTGATTGGCTTTGAATAAAGTTTATTTTATTTTTTTTATTGTTTAAT